TAGAAAGACCCTGAATTCAGATCTTGAATTAAGGCCCAAAAGGCCAGGGAGTGTGTTTCAGCGTTAATCGGAAAAACAGAGGGGTGTCAATACAGTAGGGCCCTAGTCCAGATTTTGGACTAGGCCCAAATAAGGCTGGGGGGTGCTAATTATATTACAACAGCAAAAATAAAAAAAAAGGGTAATACTAGCATTGGGCTCGGCCCAATGTTGGTGTTTGAGGGATGCGAGCGGGTTGTGTGTGGGAGGCGTACGATAGTATGGTGGGTGTGCCTGATTTGGATCGCTTGATTTAAATCACGCGGTGTTGGTTGAGGGTTTACGGTAGGCATGATGGAACGACGCGCATAGAATCGTGTGACATATTATATTTTCTTTTTTCAAAGAAACAGAAAACAATTCATTATCTATTTCTCTCTCAGTCTTGCCTCTCTCTTCTTCCCTTCTCAACACAAACCCTAGGTAAAACAACACCCTCCCCAACGGCAGTGACATAAAAAAACCCAACCCGAAGCGTGATCCAAAATCAAACCTCAACCCCCCCCCCCCTCGAATCACAAAAATGCAACAAAACCTAAAGCTAAGTCTCAAGATTACCTTTGTCGTGAGCTTCGTATTGTTTCGGTTTCCTCAATCTCTCTTCTAATCATGCTTCTCCCTTTTGTTTTGTAGGCGATGGAGATGATGATAAACAAAGTGGCAGCAATGCGAATCTCTTAGGGTTTCAGATATTGAACCCTAAGTCAATGTTTGACGCGAATCAGTGGTACGATGGAGTCGGTACTCCTCCGGATCTACCTCTCTGTAAATATTTTTTTTATTACAATATACTCCTCTCAGAATTTCTCTGTTCTCCCTTCTGTAGATTTTCCTTAGTTTCTGTATTATTGTTTTTTTTTTGTCAAAACCTCTCCGCTTCTCCTCTGTCATTTCTTCAAGTTTTTATAGTTTTTAAAGAGATTTGGTAATTTAGGAAACAATAAGTTTGTTTGTAGATTTTGTTTAGAATTGACCAGGGTTTCTAAATTAGGGAAGAATGTTACACATTTTGATTACAGTGATTCTGTATTAATCGAGCCTTGATATAGTTTCTATTTTTAGCTGATTTTGTTTCTGTTTTAATTCCACGGTGATGAAGATTTATTTCTGCTCGTGGCAATGCATTTTTCACGGTTAATTCAAACAATGTTTGTTTCAATTAAAGACATGCCTCATTTCTTGTTTAATCAACACAGTATAAGTTTTTCTGGAAACAAGTTTTTTCTCTTTAATCGAATTGGGCCTATGAGTAATGGGTCGAAAACAATTTAATTAAGTTCTAAAGAAAAACCAGTAATAAGATAATAGTAATGTTATGATTAAAAAAACAGGAAACGATCTAAAAACAAACTAACACTGAATGCGCCAAATCACTTGGGCTTTAATAAAAAAAAATCTAATAATAATTATGTTTATACTTAAAGAAAAATAATTCTCAAAACAAAAACTGATCGGGTCAGGCCATTTCATCTTATTGGTCTTTTAAAGAAAATATTTGTTTTATAGACCTCTTTGTCTTAATACTGGGTTTCCAACATGACCCTATATGGGCCTTTTCTTTCTGCAACATGCATCTTTCTTTCCAATACCTAAAATAGAATTTTAAAACTTAATGGGCCAAATTGTTTGACATATTGGGCCCTAAAAATTGAATGCTCTAACATCCCCTAACTTATTCTAAAACAAAACCTTAATATATTTTAGTGGGCTTTGATGATGAACCGGGAAAGAGAAGGCCTGCTTTGTTAACACAAAAGTCAAATTAACTTAAATTCATAATATACTATCTAAATTAAAATTAATAATGGTATAATTTAATAGTAGTGAATAATTATAGAATAATAACAATGTTATAACAAAAACAAACTGAACCGAAAAAAAAACAAATGGGCCACACCCCTTTAAATCATTGGGCCCTTAAACAACAACAAAATTATTCACACCTTCTTCTATTTTTTACACCTCTCTAGAAATTAAACAATACGATTTATTTTAAAAATAACCCTAAATATAATATAAGGGTAGGGCAAATTTAGAGTATGACACCAACTCACCATTATTATACACGCTAAGAAAAGAACTATTGGTGGCTGGCTATATATTAGTATTGAACCGCGTTATGGATAAGAAGAGTAAAAATTTCTAGGCAATATCTAGGCACTAAAATTTCTCAACTTTCAACAGAAAATTACATTTTTTACATGAAAATTATAAAAGAATTTCCAAAATTATTTTATCTAGTTCTTGTAGTGAAGACTCTATTGTACCAAATAGAATGAAGTATCATTTGAAATGAGATACTTGTATATGAGAAACAAAGGACAAGCCTGCAACTTCAATAGTTAAAAGAAGCCCATGCATAGACCAGATCTGTAGTGGGATCAAGCTAAAGTTGACAGTGCAATCCTTCCTGCGCTGCAGCAAGATATATATGATAAAAACTGTCAGGACATATAGAGTTATCTTGTTCTACCAAAACCAACAAATTTGTAATAAATATTGTGATGAAATACAGTATGAGAAGAAATTTGAATTATTCTCATTAACTTGTAATTAACAGCACACGACATTTTATATTATATGTTATTCAAAGGGGGGAAAACAAGAAACTAAATTAGTCAAAATTCTATGTATGGAATAGGAATTAGTTATCAGTTAAAATCGAGAGTTAATTAAGCTTCATTTCACACAATTTCAGTCTTCAATTCACACAAAATTTTACACATTTATTCAAAAATATATATATTGTGAGCTGAAAAGTTAGGTCTCAAACTGTAAAGAAGGAACAATTAAAGAACTATAAGTTGCATAATATTTTCTCCATAAATGTCCACCATAAACCATAAGTTGCAGAACTAGAAAATCAACACATTAGATAACATTTTATTTTGAATTTTTCTGATATTATTTTTAAGTGTTACATATTGTGCATCGCATCTTAATATCCAAACATGTTACAATATGCTATGTTTATATGCTATGTTTCAAGATGGATTAAAGCTCATTGTATTTGTACAAATTTAACACATCAAGTGAGTTTAGAACTTAGAATGAGTACAATATCTATAAGCTACAATATCTTAATTTTTTATTACAAAAGGACTATAAAAAGTGAGTAAAGAAGTAGCAATATTGGGCCAAAAGAATAGCTAGTTCTTCAGATAGATAATCAAGTAAATATAATAATATTAATAAGGGATTAATGATAAGCAAAGATAACTTTAGCCAATATGATCATGTGGCATTTACAACATCCAACAAGTTCTTATGTGATTTTTTTCGCATTAAATTCTCCAAAACTTCTTCATGAATATTTAGCAAATCCAAGTATGTCACAATTAGGAAGAGAATTTCCAAATCTTCCCAAAAATAAAAACTTTGAACTGAGCCAGCTTGACTAGGGAAACATGTCAGACCTACAAGGAAAATTGAATTGACATTCCTTTCTGCTATCATGTTCAGGCAGTCTCAATCATGTTTTAGGTTTAAAATATTAATGCATTCAATAATGAATTTTTAGGAAGTACTGGGGTTTTCGCAATGAAATAATGTCCTCTACTTTCCAACTTCCATCTACACAGTATGATAACCTTTTATTTTGTTATCATCTCTTTTTACTTTTAGCAAGATATCACAAACCAGCCCACTTATACACAAACTTCTCAACAAAATAGAACAACACAAATGAATATGACAGGTCTACTCAAAATTACTAGAACAGTTCTTTAATACAAACTTCTTTAATGCAAACAGGACTACTCAATGAAAGAGATGAACGAGTGAGCGACCAATCCCCAACAACCCAACCTAAAAGAACAACGCTTATATGCAAATAAAAAGAACAAGAAGAGGTGGCAACTTACCTATGAGCGAGAAGAAGAACGACGTATGGAAGGAGAACGGTGAATCAACGACGGAAGTTCGTATGGAGAGTTTTGCAGATTGAGGGTTTTTGAGATTGTATGGAAGAAACGAGAAGAAGATTGAGGATTTTTCATGAGTTTGTATGGAAGAAACGAGAATAAGATTGAGGGTTTTTCGTGAGTTTTGTAGATTGAGAATTTGGGATTTTCGTTTTGCAGAAGAAGAACAATAGAGAATAGAAAGTAACGACTCAAAACCTAGACTGTAATATTTATTCAATTTTAATTAACCCTAGGCACCACTTTTATAAAGCGTTGTCTAAAGTGTGGCTTTAGCAGTGCTTTGGGCATATGACAGCGCTTTCTACTATTGGGCCTATGGCAGCGCTTTAAATTTAGCAGCGCTTTCTAGATTTTTTTATTTCAAATTTAATTAACCTTAGGCAGCGCTTTTAGAAAGCGCTGCCTAAAGTGTGGCTTTAGCAACGCTTTCTTCTGTCGGGTCTATGACAGCGCTTTTTTAAAATATAAGCATATAGCAACGCTTTACTAAAGCGCTTTCTTTAATGAATCTAAGGCAGCGCTTTTTCTCAACTTTACGCAATGTTTTTTTTGTAAACTGCTGTCTAATGTATATAGTTTTAAAATTTAAAATTTTATCGGAACATATAACAACGCTTTAATATATAAGCGTTGTCTAAGGTGCGTTGCTTTAAAACAGTTTTAGCGTAGTGCTTAAATTCAACAATCATCTCAAGAAGTGTGATTAACCCACATCTCTAGTTTTGATAGATACTAAGCTTCCACTTCTTATTTCTTGTTTTTTGTTTATTGTTTATTATATTATTTTTTTAATATAGTTTCTCAACGTGTGAATATTTTATTATAAAAAAAAGTCATCATCTTAGAGATCACATGGTGTGGCTACATGATTGCATTGCTCACCACTTGCTTCTATTATTTATTTTTATTTATCAAATATTAAACAATATTTTCCTCTATAAAAACCTACACTCACGCCTAATCTTCCTCACACCAAAACTATCCAACTAGTTCAAAGCCTGACCAATCCTTTCTCTCCTTAGCCAAACACCAATCATGTCATCAATAATACAACACTCTTTGATCTTATTGTCCTTGATCACTTTGTCATTAGCATTGGACATTTCAAGTGAACGTAGTAACAAGGAGGTTATGAGGATGTACGAGAAATGGATAGTAAAACACCAAAAAGTGTATAACGATTTAGGAGAGAAAAACCAAAGATTTGAAATATTTAAGGATAATTTAAAATTCATTGATGAGCACAATGCTGAAAATCACACTTATAAAGTTGGATTGAACAAGTTTGCAGATATGAGTGATGAAGAATATCGTATGTATTTGGGCACAAAGACTAATAATATTAAAAATAAGATGAGCAGTGAACGATATGCTTATAAGGCAGATGATAATGACATATTGCCTGAGTCTGTTGATTGGAGATGGGCTGTTGGTAGTATCAAAGATCAAGGAAAATGCGGTAAGTTTGCTTCTGATTTTATTAAACTTTGAATCACTTTCATCTGTTTCATATAATTTTGTGGTTATGCAGGATCTTGTTGGGCGTTTTCCACAGTAGCAGCAGTGGAAGCGATTAACAAGATAGTAATAGGGAGTTTTAGGAATTTGTCTGTACAAGAGCTTGTGGATTGTGATAGAACAAAAAGTACAGGGTGCAAAGGTGGTTACGTAGACAAGGCCTTCGAATTCATTATTAAAAATGGTGGCCTTGACTCAGAGGAAGACTATCCATACCAAGAACGACAGGGCACATGTGATCAAGAAAAAGTAAGTGTCTATGTTCAGTTTGATAAGTATTATTCCAAGGGTCATAATACATATATTGATTGTTTTTCTAATAATATGATGCAGAAAAATACCAAGGTATTGAGCATTGATGGATATGAGAAGGTTCCGAGATCTAATGAAAATGCATTAAAGAAAGCTGTGGCTCATCAACCTGTCACCGTTGCTATTGAGGCTTATGGAGGGGCTTTCAAACTCTATGAATCGGTAAGCTTACTCATAATCAAAATCACACGCATTTATAATATATTAGTTGGACTTAAAATATCATGCTAATAGGGTTTATATATTATTTTCAGGGTGTATTTACCGGTGATTGTGGGACAAAATTAGATCATGCTGTGTTGGTTGTTGGATATGGTTCTGAAAATGGTGTTGATTATTGGTTGGTGAGGAACTCATGGGGCACTAACTGGGGTGTAGATGGTTACTTCAAGATAGAGCGTAATTATAGATACTCAAGGGCAGGCAAGTGTGGCATCGCATTGTTCCCTTCTTTCCCAGTGAAACATGCTCAAAAATCTGCAATTACTAATACAGCTTATGAAAAAACTCAAGTGCTTGTTACCAGTGCTTGAAACACCATCATATCTCAATAACGGCTTAGTACGCCTATTGGATTATATATTCTATTAATTTTGTAATAATCACTTGTCCTGTGGCTTTCACTGTTTTTCAATTTCAGTGTTTAATCTACATGTATTAATTATCTTGTAATTATCAGTTGTACTGTGCCTTTCACTGTTTTTCGACTCAGAGTGCTTGTTGTATTTTGGATTCGTATATAATAAATAAACTTTTGCCGGCAACCTTAATTTAATTTCATGAATAGAGGACAATAAAAATTAATGAAAATTGTATGACCATTTATTTATTAAAACTAATAAAAATAAATCATTTTTGTAAAAATATTTTTAATCAATTTATAGTTGTCACATATTTTTTTTATTTGTATATTTTATTATATGTGAATCGTTAATTATTTGAATGTATTTTCATTCCATATTTGTGTTGTTGTATTTGTGCTCTTTTAGAGTACAGTCAATCATGTACTCAAGTAGGAGTTTGAGATTGAGGAAGGCGGTGTGCCTCTTTAGTAGCTTTTCGGTTGAGTTTTTTTAATGAAATCGTTCTAATATGTAACACTAGGAAACGGGTCGTTCTTTGTTTATGTTATGTTGCATATCTTTTCTTGCTTAGAAAATGAACAATGTGTAATTTTGAGTTGGTTTTTTAGGCTTTTAATGCCATAATATTTTATAAAAATTCCATGTGTATTGAATGGTTTAATTATAAATATGGTTCAGTTTGGATGATGGTTTTTGGTTGAGTAACATCCTACTTGGAGAATAATGGTATTATTCCTTATTTATTTAACTTATTTGTTGAGTCGGGAAATAGGGTGTTACATATTGGTATCAGAGTAGGTCGGTCCGTCCTGACAGATTGTCTAATGTTATTTGTTCTTTACTATACAACATGTGTGTGAAACACTGTTAGTACTTTCTTGTTTTCTAACTCCTTGTCAGTAGGAGCGACATTGAAACAAGTGGAAGAGAAGCTTCTGCTTCTCTGAGATGTTTCAGGTGTGAGGAGTATGTTCAGTAAGCCGTTGATTACAAGAGATCGGGTGATGTCGAAGTTGTGTTGTTTCTCGAAACCGAAGATGATGTGATTCGAGATTCATGTCTACCAGCCAAGTTGAGATGTCTTTGAGAGAGAACGATAAGGTATTGTTGATGTTTTCTTCTCGGAGAGTGGAGAGCAATGTGATTTAGTGATGTGCCAGTGATGTGGGATTTTTGATGTTTTTTTTTAAAGTATCTGCGACTGACCTCCAGAACGTGAACCCGAGTTTGATGAAAGTGAAGAGTTGTTTATTCGGCTAAACAAGTGGAAGATTCTGAAAATGGTGCACATGTGTTTAAGAGGTTGACTTCTTTGTATGCAGAGGGAAATGCAGTGATTGGTGATCTGTCTACAGTGTACAAATTTTCATAAGTATTCCCATATGATATCAATGAATTACCGCTAGAGCGAGAGGTTGAGTTTGCTATTAACTTAGTACCTGGTACTAGTCCTGTTTCAATGACTCTGTATAGAATGTCTGCTTCAAAGTTGAATGAGCTGAAAAAACAATTGTAAAAGTTACTTGAAGAGAAGTTTGTCCTATCAAGTGTTTCTCTTTGGGGTGTGCCAGTATTGTTAGCAACGAATAAAGATGGTAGTATGAGTTTGTGTGTTGATAATCGATAGATGAATAAAGTCACTATCAAGAACAAGTATCTGCTTCTGAGAATTGATGATTTGATGGATCAATTAGTCGGTGAATGATTTTCAATCAAATTAATTTGCAGTCGGATTATCATCAAATTTGAATGAAACCAGAAGATATTCTGAAGACTGCTTTCAAAATAAGATATGATCAATATGAATATTCTATAATATCGTCTGAAGTGTCTAATTCGTCTAAAATTTTCATAAAATACATGAACAAAATTTTTCATCCATACTTAGATCAAACTAATATTACAGTAAAAAAAAATTAAAAAAAACAAAAACTTAGGAAAAGCCTTTTTACAATTGTATACATATATCACAAATCATCTACTCACTTGCATGCCAAAATCTTATGATTTTATTTAAAAATAATTTCCAAAAAATTACTCTTTACAAATCTTATGAAGTTATGTTGTGACATATGCGCATGTAACACGCGGAGGAAGTTACATGTTAGAAATTAGAGAAGACAAATGTACTTTCTGTGTGGAGCCCTCTTGAGAGTATTTTTCTGAACACAAGTCCCCATGTTCAGTGTATTCAATTTATGGAAATGAAAGAACACAAGACATGTGATAACGTGAAATAAATACGAATTTTTAAATCAAATTTTTATTTGATGCTTTTTAAAAAAAAGTATTTGTATACTTATTTTAACAAAATCATTTTTAGAAAACCTGAAACAAAAAGGTCAACTATCTTTTTTTAATTTAGTTTTTTTGCATATATAAATAACATTAAGAAAAAATATAACAATATTGTTACTCTTAAGTTATTAGTTCAATTTATTTTGGGTTTAAATAATTTCTTCCATTTATTAATACATCTTATAATATAATAATTTTTAAAGTTAAATATCTTTGGAGTCCTTATAAATATATGACTTTATAATTTTGATATTTCTAAAAAATTTCTTAGAATAAAAGTCATCGCAAATTTTTTATTTTACAATTTTAGTCATTACCGTCAACTTTCATTAACGGAAATCAACGTGACATATCAGATAAGAAAACGTTTGAAATTGCATAGATTTCAAATCTCTTTTAAAATAATCCAGAAAAAAATCAAAAAATTGATTCGGAATTTTTCTCAAATTCCTTGCAAACAAGTTTTGATATTAATTTACCATTCCAATGACAATCAATTCCATATTCAGATAAATAAAAAAAAATCGGAATTTTCTTCAATTAATCTCAAAAATCTCATCTTTTTCTCATTGGATTGTTCTTCTTCATGGAACTTTGTAAAGTAGATATGACACATCAATCTCAAAATACAATTGGCAGATCCTTCTTTCTTTGCAATTTGCAGCCGTTTTACTCGTCAGGCTAGCATTGGCAGCAAATTGATATACAGATGATGATTTCAGCTAAGTTAATTCATTCAGATCAAATACGATATGTTTCTAAAACAAGCTATAAATACCATATGTCTATCTATAATCTTTCACACGCATAAACATTAAATTCAGCTAAGATATAGAATGGCAAACCAAACCAGAATTTTATGTTGCGTTTTGTTTGTTTTGGTTCTAAGTGGTGGATGTGAGACACGGTCTCTGAACCCGACAATGGTAAGTGATCATCACATGTTAGAAACTTCTAATTTGAATTGGAATTCCATAGATCCAATTGCAGAAGAAAATGGTGCAAAACCTGATGAGCAAAGATTGAGTCCCGTTGGACCTGATGGTCATCGCCATTAATTACTTTCAAATTCATAAACCTCTATATCTTGTCAATGTCTTGTTGAAATTAATAATTGTTTTATGATGTTACTGCTAAACCTCAAATCTGTTTTCTATCTTCTTCACCTTATGTACAATCAGAGGATGAAGAAGATAACAGACAAGTAATTGTTCTCCGCAATTTCAAACAATTTTTAGATGTGACGTGCCACGTCAATTTCCGTTAATGAAATTTGACGACAGAGACTAAAAATGTGGATAGAAGAATTTGCGATGAACATTATTCGAAGGAAAATTTTAGAGAAACTAAAATTGCAGAGTCACATATTTATAGGGATTAAAAATATATTTAATCTTATTTTGTAATTAATGTACATACTATTAATTAAATATTTAATTGAAAAAAATAGTTTTATGTCAAAAAAATGAAAATGACATTTGGTTTTTCATTATTACATTTAACAAGGTTTTAAATGATTTTTTTTATTCCTTTATTTTAATTTTTTTTAAGATTATAATCTCTTCATTTTAAAACTCGATTATTTGGTCTATGTATTTAACAATTTTTGAGATTTTTCCCCACTTTTTGATAGGTAAAAGTAATGTGATATTGATGACTAGGATAAAAAAACGGTATTGTTAAAAGTCACACATCGGTATTAGGTTTATGCTATTAGACCTCCCAAATATTATTTCACCTTTTATTTTTTCCACTTTTACTTGAAACAATTTTGAGAATTGTATGTTCCATAGTAAAAATACAAGTCCTCAGTCCCATCAGTGGAGAAACTTCAATCAAGTCCACACAAATATGTTTTCCTTCCACCCACTTGTACAACAATACATATGTTGACCTAAGTGTCGATATCCCCTCAAGTGGGTCAGTAAAAAATTCACAAACGCATCTTTCTTCACAAATACTTTGCCTCGTCGAAATATATCAAACAAGATATACCTAACAAGTTCGTGTCAGTATTTTAAGCTTGGAAGCTCTTTAGAATGAATCGTATGTTTCCCAAATGTATCCAAATACACCTTATGACAAATAGGACAAAACTCATTGTAATACGGTGGGAGAACTGACTTTTGGGTTTGCGTTTTATCGTAAATGTTGCAGATAGCAAGAGTCGCCACCGACTTTTCTTTTGTCTAATAAAGGAAATGGTGAAAAGAACAGGAAAAACCTTTTGAGAATTTTCTGAGTTCGGGGGGTAGGTTATGAAAAGGGAAGGTAGTATCACCCTTTTCATTCGTAGTTATCTACGGGCTCTTAATCGCTAGCTCACTTTGAAAATGCTTTGTGTTTGTGTATGTATGCAAATATTTTGAAAAATATGCCTAAGTGCGACAATTTTGTAATGATTCTCGTATCGTTGAGAATGTATATAAAATGTTTGTTTTGAAAATATTTGTTGAAAGGAAGTGTTGTTTTGTGAAAAGATGTTTTGAAAATGTCAATGTAAGGCAGTTTGCTTTATTATAATCCTTGTGTCAGTCCTCAAGAGTGTTTATAAAGTGTTTTGAAAGTAGTTGTTTTTGAAAGTGTGAGGTGTGAAAGTTATTTTAGTTTGTGAGCAAGCGATTACGAGTGATCTACCTACTAAAAAAGTCTTTGTTCTTTTCCTCCTCCTTTAGAGTGCTATCCTACCATTAGTTAGTAGGAAGCTCTATCATTGGATGTGAGAGACAGGTGTGGGTTATCGTACAATCATAGAAGGCAACTTATAAGACGCTTTAGCAATTTTCGTAAGGGACTAAGATCATTTACTGAAGGCAACATCGAAGGGTCATTGTGATACGGTGGGAGAACTGACTTGTGTTTTGCGTTTGTATTCGCACTTGTTCGGTTGAGCAAGAGTCGCCACCGACTTTTTATTTTATCCTAAAGGAAAGGTTAAAAAAGCACAGCAAAAACCTTTTGAGATATTTCGTGGGTCCGGGGGGTAGATTATGAAAAGGGAAGGTATTAGCACCCTTTTCATCCATGGTTGTCCATGGGCTCTTAGTTACTTGGTTTTTAGATCACTTGCCTTGATTTTCGATTGCTTGAAATTGTGGTGTGTGTATGTGTTTTGAAAATGTTTTTGAAGAGATGCCTTGTCTTAGGCGACCAATGTATTTGACTCGTGTTTGAGTGTTTTACAAAAGTGTGGATCTTTTCGAAAAGATGTTTCAAATGTTTTTGAGAGTTTGTTTGAAAGTGTTGTGGATTGTGGTTTTTGAAAAGAAGGCAAGCGTTTTTTTGCAAGTCGATCTCAAGTAACTAAGAGTTTTGTCTACCCTATTGTACTCAAAGGTTTTCTCTATGTTTTCAACCTCTTTTTTTTGACAATTTTGTTCCACCATTGAATTTGGTGGACAATTTTGCGTTTAGGAAGTTTGTTCGGGACGGGCGCGGGTCATCGTATGGACCATGAATGCAATGGTGCCAAGTATCTTTGGCAATTTGCTTTGAAGGGACTATGATCATTCCATTTAGGCAACTTTCGAACGCGTCATCGAGGGACTTATGATCATTTGAATTTGTTTTGCCAAAGAAACTCGACGTGCAAGCATGGCCCATTTTGGAAGGCAACATGTGGGATTACCCTAGAGGGTGCAAGTGTGATTGTGTATTGATTTCATGTATTTGTCTTGTATTAGGTTATCTAGCGTTTGATTTTATGTACATCCAAACCCTAGGTCTAACCATGGTATAATTAAAAGCGGTAAATTGCGAAAATGTAAAATCTACGCTATTACAAAATAAGTATCCGGGAGTGGGGGTACAAATTTATGAATGGGGATGAGACTTATAGTATCCAATAAGTTACAACCAAATCGAATTTGCGATCAAATGTAAATAATGCATATCAATGTATAAGATAAATAAATGTGTATAGGAGCAATGTAAATGTATTTGTATTGTGTAAGTGTGAGATGTATTGTGTAAGTAATTATTTACAGGTGCGATAATGTGAAATTGAATGTGTATTAAGTATTTTTTAACTTAAAGAGAAATTAAATGTATATTTAATTTAATTAATAATCTTGTATTTTCTTAATATGTATGAAAAGAAAAATATGCTAAGTTTTAATTATGTATACAAAAAGTATTTTTTCATTTGTTATGTACAAAAAAAAAAGAATATTTAAATTAAAATGTTTTAAATTAATAAAAAAATGTGTACAAAAATGTATTTTTATGTATTTCATGTGTTTAATATAATAATGTAATAATACATAAGAAAAATACCTTTAGTTAAAGGAAAAAATATATTATGTTTGAAATTGTAATTTTGGTAAAGAAAAATCAAGATTTGATGTAAATAAATAAAAAGATTATGTTAATTTATGTATATAAAAGGATATGATGATAAATAAAAGGTTTGAAATAAGTTAGAAATGGGCTCAAAGAGGGGGGGTGTGAATTGGACATGCTTTGGGCTTAGGCATTCAGAATGGGGCGAGGCCCACGTTGCCATAACACACTTTAGGGTTTGAAGTTTTTGTTTCATCTGGGAATATGCTTAGGGTTTGCAGCGAGCAGAAGCGCCGTTTGTGGCTACTTCGTCCTCTCCGTCCATCTTTGCGCCATAGATTCAAAGCTCTGACCTTCTCGCCCTAGCCACCGTGCCATCTCATCCTCCGTTTACCCTCCTCCATGGGTCATTCACGTTAGGTACAGAAGTTCGTTTTCGTTTAGAATTTCGTTTCGTCTTGCATGCCATGTTTTTTTTTATTTATTTGATTTTTACTTACTGATTTATGCGAGGTTTCGAAGGAAGAATGAAAGAGATTATACCTTGGCGAAGGAGGAGGAAGGAGGCACTTGGGGGCTTGACGAGCGGAGGAAACGTGATACGCGCTTTGTCTTCTGGTATTTCTGTACTACCCTTTTTTAGGCTTTATGATGTCAATCTGAAAGCTTGATACACATGTCTTCTTCTCTTCTTCTCTTTCTTGGCTTGCCTCTGTACACTTGTTACCTTGAACGCTTGCTTATGTTGCCTCGAGTGTTTATTGCTTTGATACTTTGCCTTGACTTCTGTCGCCTATTATGCCCGTATGCTTATGTTGCTTGCTTTTTTCTGCCCTATGATGGACTTTCTGAGGGCTTTCGTTGCCTTAAACAAGCTATGGTTGAAACATTTTTGTTGTTTTGATTAGCTTTTTCCTCTTCTTCTCTTGCTACTATTACTGTATGATGTCTTGAATGTATGTGGCCTTCTTGATTTGCCTGTTGAAATACTTCTGCTGGTTATGAATTGGATGCTTTTGGTTGTCTATTCACTTCTTCCTTGCCCCATGATGAGCCTAGGGTTCTGAGGGCTTAAGTTGCCTTTGAATATACTTGGATATTTTGGTGTTTTATGAATGTCCCTGTGATGAACTCTTTGAGTTCTGAGGGCTTGAGGCTTGAATCCTATGTTTGCACCACTTCTGATTCTTGGCAAGGTTGGCTTGAGGCTTTGTGAGGTTTCTTACAGGTTTTAGGCTTATTGCAAGCTTAAGGTTGGTTTGACTGGTTTTAAGGCTTGAACTGAATGGTACAGGTTTTAATACTTTAGGTTTGGAAAATGGTAAGGCCTTTTTTGTAAGCTCAAGGCAGGTTTGACTGGTTTTGTAGCCTTAACAGGTTTTTTGCTTGAGGTTCTGGACAGCAGATTGGAGTTTAGGCCATGTTTTATGCTGGCTTGGCTTATGCAGTAGGCAAGTTTGCTTCAGGTTTTAGCAGGTTTGAGCTTAGGCAGGTGCAGGCTTGGCCTTGACAGGTTATGCTTGTTCTGGTTTAGGCCATTAGCATTTGGTTTTGGCCATTAGCATTTGGTTTCAGGTTTTTTTGCATCTGCAGGTTAGGCTTGTGTTTGAAACTTCACCGGTTTATGTTGAGGCTTGACAGGGTTTTTGTGTTTTGGCCTTAACAGGTTTAAAAATGCTTAGCAGTTTGTATATCTTCTTTGTGTTGGTTCCTCCTCCTCTCTTCTACTGTGTTTTGTTCTTTTTGTATATGTTTCTTATGCTTTTTGCCTAAAGCC